CAGAAAGCCTATGGATTTTTGGAGCCATGCCCACTCACCAATGAAAGTCCCTTCTTGAATGTAGATTTCCTGCCGTTCCTGCCCATTAGGATCCAGGCCTGTGTGCAGGCTAACCTCTGAGCTGTCATAGCTGTATGAACTAAACACCATGGTACAGTTCTGCCAGTCAAAGGGGAAGTAGGTGACCTGGAATAGGGGAGAGGGAGAGAGTCATTGGAGCTGCCTAAGAACAGGTTAGGGCCAAGGTCAATGGTGAGAAAACAAAATATGGAGCACTAAGGAAATAGGGATCACTAAAGGAAATGACAGGTAAGTGAGGTGCAGAGGAATCAGAGTTATTAAGGGGAGATGGAGGAGGATCACAGAAGATTGGAAGTCAAAGCAAGTGTATAAGGGATAGTCAGTGGAAAATCAGGACAAACAAAAGCAAAAGTCATGGGGATAGTGGAGAAGGATAGAAATTGCTGGGGAGTTAGAATGTCTGAGAAGAGGTGGAGCCTGAAAACCTGAATGCTGCAGCTGCTTCGATAGATGCCAGGGGGCTGCCAGCGCACCGTGCCATCGGAGGACACCACGACATTAATATCCAAAGCAACGTCAAAATTTCCATCATTGCTGCATAGAAGGATTCTCTCAGCTAGGATAGGGACCCATCCCTTGGAGGCCCCGCCCCTCCAAGGCACCACCTTCCCAGGCTTAGGAAAGATCCTACTTGTTCAACAGCACCACGTCAGGGAGCCACACAGATTCAGGTGTAATGCGAAGCAAGTCGATGCCATCGTATTCTGCAGGATCCCAGCTTAGTCTATAATCGGTCCATTCCTAGGGAAGAAGAAGCTGAAGGGCTCTTTGTGGCTAGAGGCCAGAAAAGGACTTGAAATGTCTGAAAGGAAGCCCAGGAAAAAAACACAAGGGAGGAGCCAAACAGGAGAAACGGACTGTGGTGAAGAGTTGTAGATTCTGGCTATAGCTCTGGTTTCACTCACTTGGTCTCCTATTTTTAATGTATAAAACCAAGAGTGTACTAGCTTTTCTCAAAACTGTTTTGCTTCCACACTGTAGTTTATGATTCTTTAGTGAATGGAAATTCAAATTGGTGGCCCTAAACCTATTTTTGTTTCTTTGTTTTTGTGCCAGTACTAGATCTTGAACTCGGGGCCTGGGCATTTTGGCTCAACATTAGTATTCTGCCACTTGAGCGACAGCTCTACTTTCAAACCTGTTTTTTTTTTTTTTTGTTTTTTGCCAGACCAGGGGCTTGAACTCAGGGCCTGAGCAACTGTCCCTGAGCTTCTTTTGCTCAAGGCTAGCACTCTACCACTTGAGCTATAGTGCTACTTCTGGCCTTTTCTGTTTATGTGGTACTAAGGAATGGAACCCAGGGCTTGGTGCATACTAGACAAGCATTCTACCACTGAGCCACATTCCCAGCTCCCTGTTTGTTTTTCTAATAGAATGAAGACTGCATCTGTCTCGCTTAGGAATTAATGACTGAAATTTTGTTTCATTTATAAATGTATTTTCTGATGTTATGATACAAATATATATATATATATATATATATATATATATTAACGGGACCTGGACATTCTAATAAATTGTAAAAGGAGTGGAATGCACTTCCCTACTCCGGAGATCTCCATACCAGGTCTAAGTACACCTTTGTGCTCATCTCTTCATCTTTCTCGTTCTAGAAAGGAAAATTGAAAGAGTAGAGGTGAAAAGGGTGGAGAGAAATGAGCGGGCTGGACAAATAAGCCTCTCCTAAGAAACTCTGTCTCTCCCTCTTTTTTTTTCTTTTTCTTTTTTTTTGTCAGTCGTGGGGTTTGAACTCTGGGCCTGGGCGCCGTCCCTCAGCTCTTCAGCTCAAGGCGATCCCTCTAACACTTAAGCCACAGCGCCACTCTTGGTTTTCTAGTGGTTAATTGGAGATAAGAATCTCACCGACTTTCCTGCCCGAGCTGGCTTTGAATCGCGATCTTCAGATCTCAGCCTCCTGAGTAGCTAGGATTACAGGCGTGAACCACCTGCGCCCGGCAATTCTGCCTCTCTCTGAGACCCACCATTGTAAGTAAGTCCAAAAACCCATCTCTTAAAAGGCTGCATTAGATTAAGCCTAAATTCGACTTCAGAAACACTCTCCTACGATCTACTTTCGGCCTCATTAGAAGCCAACCCTTCTAGCCTGTCATCTGGCTCTGTCCGGGGGCTCCCGCCCACAGTTTAGAATCCACCCAACCCAATCTCCGCCTAGGGCCATTCATTGACCTGTCCAGCACATAGCTCCGCCCACTGCCAGAACTTTATTCGGTCCTGCCTCAAGGACCACTCCCTCTACTTCAAGATCCGCCCACAGGCCGGTCCTGTAGCTGGGCAGCTCTACTTTGGACCGTCTAGCGGCCACGCCCACGAACTTGTTCATTGGCCCGATTTCTACCCAATCTCCGCTAACGGCTTGTCCATCTTTCTGCCTAGTTTCCTCTCAGATCCCGCCCCCAAGGCTGACCATCCATTTGGCCTTACCTAAAGCCACGCCTCCCCAGCCGTTCCACCCGTCCAACCTCAACCCCCGGCGTGCGCCCTCACCAGGCTGATGAGCTGCGCCAGGATGAGACCAACGCTGACCTCGACGCGATCTCCCAACTCCCGCGCCGGCCGCACGGAGCTATCATAGCCCGAGAAAAGCTTCTCGCGGAGTCGACCCTCAGCTTCCAAGCCAAGGGCGCCTGCAGGAGGAGAGCGCTAAGTGAAGTCCTTGTGCCCGGCCACGACCGTTGTCACTGCCTCTTGGGGGAACTAGATTTACCTGGGGCGAAGGGCGCCCCCAGCGCCCCCAAAAGCAGCAGCAGCGCCCCTGAGACCATAACCCGGCCGTGTCGCTCAGTGATTTTGCTCTGAGAACCACTGGAGCTGCCAGAGCAGGGGAAGTGACGAGGCGCCCAGGAATGTGCACCTGTTGCTGGGGGGGGGGCAGCTGCCAGCCCACCCGCCCCGCCTGCCCTCGGGACTCAGTCCCGCCCCAGCAACTGCTGTCACTCACCACTTACACATGACAGACAACACTTCAGTCATATAAATCGTCTTTAATTGAGAAAGCGTGGAGACCTGGTTCTCTGGGAGCAGAGCCAGGAAATGAGTGGAGTCTATGGGAGGGGGAATTATATGGGGGGGGGCGTCTTTTGCAACAAGCCAGAGGTAAAAGAGCCTGAGGAAAAGTGACCAGCCTTTGAGCATACCCCTACCTAGGGATCCTGCCCAAGATTAAAGTGGCTCAGGAGATTCCTTCCAAGTTCATTAATGTGATTCCCAGTCTTTCCTAGGTCTGCCACTAGCTCTGTGTTTTTATTGTTGTTTTTCTTTTTTTTTCAGAATCATCAAGTCCTTTGGGGGTACCTAAAACCAGGCTGAGGTTATAAGCTGTAAGGTAAAGCAAATTCTATTCAGAAGCTCTGAAGGTGTATGAGGTCTAGGGCCTAAGAGGTTCTCACCCTCCTTGGCCTTGACCTATAGGGAACAAGAGGTGGAACTTATTGCTTAATTAGGGTTTCCTTACTGGGGAATGTCAAGGCTGTGTCCCATTTGTCCTTTTTTATTCTAGACTCATTATCCTTAAGGACCTCAGCTTTAAAGGGGACCTAGAAGGAATTCCTGCTGAGGTAGCTAAGTGTTCATGTCCCCCGCAATCCAGACACAGGTTCAATTATGCTATGGTTTTGGCTCCTTCTTCCTCCCAAGTATAATAAGCCAAGGATCACTCCAAAATTCTATTCCCCTTCCCCAGACTCTGTTTTTCTGGCAGAAACCCATCTACGATGCAGGAACTAGAAACAGTATGTATAAATAAGAAAGAATAAAATTTTTAGAAAATTATCTAGGAAAAACAAGAAGTGGTTCTTGATTCAACTAGAACTAATTACTTGTTTATTTATTCCTTTTGTTGACAAAGGGTCTTGCTATGCACGTAGCCCAGGCTGGCCTCAATTTTTTTTCTCAGTCTACTACCTCAGCCTCCTGAGTGCTAGTATTATAGGCATTTACAACCATGCCTGGTTCAGAAATAATTAGTGCTTTATGAATCATAACTGTGTCCTTTTCAGAGTTCATTTTTAATAGATATTATTAGAGAAGAGGGGAAGGTGGGTCTAGAATTTACTCTAGAGCAATAATATGGCTATATAGGCCCTAAATCCATCCTGGAGAGAAGGGCTGAGAGTCATGGCCTATGTCTTAGAGCTGAGATTAAGGAGGAAATATGGCTCCAATAAAGGACTAGAACACCATGCTCTAGTATTGAGTGTCTCTGGGATAAGAAGGTTAAACCTCTGGTGACTTGAGACTGGTCCCAGTTCAGGCGAAGGCCAACAGCTAGATAGAGCTCAAATCCAGCCTTTTTCTACTTAGAAGCCAGGGATCCATCTGGGTCAAGAATAGAAGCCTGATGGATCCAAACAGACTTTGGTAGCATGTCTGAATTCCATTGAAGAGCCCTAGTACAGAAATGGCCTTGTCTGGGGTGTCTGGTGTACAAGAACTTCCCAGACCAAGGCAAAAGGTAGAATGGGGACAGAAGGAAACTAATCCTGAGCTCCCATGGATCTATAAATCTATGGCTCAGTGGCAATGAAAAGAAGTATAGTGCTGAGCTGGGGGTGGGGAATATTTCGGTCCTGGCTTTGTTAGTTTTGGAACCCCCAGCACCATCTCAGGAAAAGGCTTTGGGGGTTGTAAGTGTGATGGGGAAAAAAATGAAGTGATCAGCCAGGACTATTTTCAGACATCCCCTTCTCTAACCCTCTCGGGGACCTAAGGCTCTAAAAGTCTCAGCAGCCAGCCCCTAGGCTTCTTCAGAGTAGAGCACCTAGTATATGGGACGTGGCTGTTCAGGGCATATGTGTGGCAGCAGGGGTGGACAGCAGGGCCAGGAGCAGGGCTGAGAGATAGGCTGTGGTGGTGGCTGGCTCACTTGCAGTCTGCGGAGCCTCCAATCCAGGAACTACATCTCAGGGGGCAGGGGGACTGGAAGGGGAAGTCTCAGGGACACTGTGGAGAGAAGGCTCTCGGTACATGGCCACTGTGAAGGGGAGAGAGAAAGGAGCAGGGAAGGAGAGTTAGGCACACAGAGACTCAGGTAGGACCCCTTGCAAGAGCTCCCTTCCCCTTCACTTACCCTCTGAGAACCCCAACCCAAACCCCTAAAGGTTAAAGTCTTTCTGTCTTGGCCAGTTATAACAGCGTTTCAACATTCACAGCCTGATTTGTGTGCCACTAAATGTCTATGTTAAGGTCAAGGCCCTCCCACATGACCCACCTCTTCTTGAGTTTATACCCACCCTCCAGGAGTTTGGGCACAAAGTGGGCAGCTGCCTTGGTCTTCTTGACTCGATTTCCCTTCATAACTCGGCCTTCCTTGTCTAGGCCTAGGTACCAGGCCCTCCCAGAACGGCGTTGTCGGTAGAGAGCAGAGGCATAGAGGACATAGTAATTCTCAAAGACACATTCCTTAAAGCGACACTCAGCTGTGAAATGTGGCTGAGGAAACAAAGACCCAGAAAGGCATACACAGAGAAATAGAAAAACACATCACTGGCGGAAGAAAGCTCTTCAGAAGAAGAAGCCAGGTTATAATGGAGGCGTGGGGGAGAAATGGGCAGGAGGGAGGAAATTGCTTCCTTCCCATGTAGGGACCACAGTAAAGCGAAGACAAGGAAGAGCTGGGTGAGCCACTGAGGGTTCCAAACCAGACTTGGGCACTGGGCTGGAATAAGATTCCTTCCCCCACTTTCTTTTAATCCCTATCCTGAATGAGTACAGAAATCAGTAATAATGAAATCTAGAGGAGATAGGCTGGAAAGTGAACTCTTGAAAAGGCTGAGTCAAACTCCCAAAGAACCTGGGGGTACTTGGCTGGTTGGGGAGCAGGGATTAAATACACCCTAGAGAAGGTAGGTAGTGATGGTGATCAACCAATACTGGAGCGAGGGGAGAAGTCCTGAGTGCAAAATCTGAGGCTAAGGAAGGTTGTGTAGATTGGGGGCGTCCCCAGTCCCCCAGCTTCATTGTCTCACCGAGCTGTACAGCAGCCCCTCAGCATTCATGGCCATATAGTGTCCCAGCTTAGCACTCTGAATGGTGACCACTCGGAGCCCCACAGGGATCAGGTTGAAGTGAGCTGGAAGAGAGAGAACGTATCAGTACTCAGTCCTCTCATCTGAGCCTCTCCCTGCCCCTTATCTTGTCTCTGCTGCTGGGGGAGGGGGGACAGGGAGGGCGGATGGACTGAAAGCAATTTTCTGTCCCCATCTTCCTGCTTCCCACCCCAGCAGCTGGCTTCCCCTCTCACTGAAGGAGCTGGTGTCCTCTGGGGTGCCCTGGATGCTCCCGTCGGGATTCGCCTGGAGGTAGAAACCCTGGCGGCAGAACAGTTTGGTGACTATGCCTTTGAGCTGAGGCTCTGAGAGAGAGAGAGAGAAAGAGATTCATCTTTGAAAAATGACATCCCTGTTCCCAGAAACATACCTACAACTTAGCAGGATCACAAGAAATAAAGAAGGAAGAGGGTCTTGGGCCCCCAGCTCTCTTCCCTCCAAGGAAGCTCTCTCCCACCTCTCTTTGGCTCCTGGGGATTCGCTGGGAGGATGGGGGGGAGTGGGGAGTAGGTCCCTTGGGTTTCCTCTAACCAAGAGCTTTCAGTTTAATTTATTGAAATTTATTTAAATGGCTTAATTCCTACTCTACAGCTCAACCGGAGGGGGGAGGGGAGGGGAAGGAGGAGGAGGAGAGATATATCAAGAGGCATTAAAGAGAGAGACAAGCAGGGCTGCCGAATGGGCAGTGTGTTTGCGAATGTGGGGTGGAAGACGTCAAGGTGACCACAGAGAAGGGGCTCCCCCTCAGCAGTGGGGGTGGCACTGGGCCTGACGCTGACTCAGCACCTGCTGCTGCGGCGGCCGCTTGGTTGGCTCGAGCCTTGCCTTGGCCCAGCGCCGGTCTGTCTGACACTGACCCATCTGTCTGTCTGTCTATCTGTCTGTCAGTCTGCTGGCTCACGGAGGGGGGGTGGGGAGAGGAGGACGTTCTCCCTGAGGCTCAGTTCCTCCCCCCCACCCCTTTCAGCCAGGTAACCTGCCTGGGATAGGGGACATTCATTCAGACCATAGCAAGGAAATGGGGGGAGGGGGCCGGCCAGATGGAGAGGCAGGCTGAGTCACGTGGGGGCCGGGTCCCACTTGGAGGGTGGGCTGCGGACCGTACCACTGCGGAAAGCCGGGGAGAGGGTGCGAGGGGCTACCTCTAGGAGAATTGGGAGCCGACTGGAGCGGGGCCAGAGGGGACTCCCTCCCTGACTGTTGGACCTGGACCGGGACCACATGCTAACCCTCACAACTCTTCTCTCCAGTCGCCGTTCGCTGCCGGCTTCCCCTGTCCCCCAGTGTAGGTGGTACGACCCCCCCCCCAAGTCTCTCTGCCTTTCTCCAGAGGTGAACTGTGTGTCGAGTTCCTCCTGATACCGGGTTCTCGGAGCCTGTGGGGCCCGATTTCAGAGTGGCACGGGGGTAACGGGAGGGGGTGCCGGGTTCCCCTCTCGAGGCGCAGGTCTCAGGAGGAGGGCGCGCGGGGCGGGGCGGGGCGGGGGGTCCTGGCTGGCGAGGTAGCTGCGAGGACACCCGAGGAAGAGCTGGGGAGACTGGCTCTGAGCTAGGCGAGCTGGACCGGGAGGAACAGAGCCAGGTCGGGGAAGAAGGGGGGGAGAGCCGGAACGGGGGCGGGGCGGCCCGAGATGCAGAAAGTCTCCAGGTGACCCAGCGTCCAGAAACCCCCAGGCCCCTAGGCTCTGGATTTGAAAGAATCGCGAGAACCAGCACGTAGACAGAGGATGATGGGGGTGGGGACTCCTGTTTGGGGAGGGTAGGCTGGAGCTGCGAGGTTCGGGGCGCCAGATTCGGCCCCTCAAGCCTTCTCCCCCTCCCTTGCCCTCGAAAGCAAGGAGACTCGGCATTTTGGACGAAAGAGGAGGGAAATTGAGGCATGGTCCGATAGACTTTGTGGTCCTGACCCCCCTCCCCTTCCACTTTGGGGGACCTCCCACTGTCGGGTGGCATTCTTCGGAGTCCCTGGCCTTAAGCTCCCAGGCAGAGAGACCCCGGACACCCCGCCCCAGCCGCACTCACCCGGGCCGCGGTCCTGCCGCGCGGGCCGCCCCCCGCACAGTCGCACCTTGGACAGCAAGATGAGGAGCTGCTTCTGGCAAAGGGACTTGGTGCCGCGGGGACACACGCGCCGCTGCGCCGACACCGGCCGGCTACTCCCGGGCTCACGGACCTCCCGCTTCTGCCGGATCAGGCTACTGGCCAGGGCCGCCATACCGCTTCGGGAGGAGACACCCCCAAACCAGCAGGCGCCCGGAGCGCGCTGGGCTCCCCAAGAGGAGCCCTCTCACCGGGGCATGTTGTGGATGTTCAGGAAGCAACTCACCGCCCCACCCACAGGACCTGAGGTTAAGCCCCAAACTCCCCCGGGTGCCCCTACAGCCACCAGCTCCCACCCTTCCCCTCTGATCGCTCCAGCCAGCCGATCCAGCAGCCTGTGCGCTCCTAAATGGACCTCACCCACGAATTTTGTCTCCTACTGAAAACTCGCCTTCGTCCTCTCCAGTGTCTTTGTCCTCACTTTCTCTATCCCAAAGCCAAGACCCCCAAATTCCTCAGAGGTAGTCCCAATAGCCCCAGGCCCCTTTCCTCCCAATCTTAGGGCCACCCACAGGCCTACAGCGCTTTTCTGATCCAAGGGTGTGGGTCCTCAGCCGTGGGGATATTAGCTCGCTCCACCCTTGCTGAGCCGCTGTCAATGTCAAGCAGGAACCCAACCGTGGTGCCTTTTGCTTTTCTCTGAACCTTCCAGTAGATCTCAGACTCTCCAGGCTGTCCAAGTTCAGTGAGAAGGGTTACCCAGACCTTGTACCTGGACAATGGCCTTTTTCACTGTCCCCCTCATTTCAGGCGGCACAGACTACAGCTGCTCAAGACCCCTTCCTTCCCTCACCCGTCACTCCACCGCTCCTGTGGTGGTCCCCTCCCAGTCAGCCCTTCCGAGTGCTTGTACACCAGGTGGTTTTCTAGAGGACCCTGTCACATCAAAACAAGGAGCCTCCTCCCTCCCTCTCTGTCTCTCTCTCTCTCTCTCTGATTACCCCTTAAATTTCCTCAGGAACAGCTGGTGCTGTTTAGATCCCACGCCCTCCAGTCTAACCAGCCCCTCAAAAGAAGAGTGCACCCACGTTGTCACTACTTCCCAAATGTGATCAGGCCCCCAGTAAGTCAGAACGCTTCCTGCGACGGGCTTTCTCTCGTCCTCCCGGGACTGCCTGAAGCACCCCCTCTTCCTTTCCCCGACGCCCCTCAACCTGTCCTGTCTTGTTGATCCAGAAGACGGGTGGCGCCGGCTCCAGCTGCAGGCTCCTCCCTCTCTGTCCCCCGCCAGCGGAGATTCCCCCCACGCCGGGCTGTGCGTCCCGGACCCCCAGGAAGGAGTAAGGAAGTCTCTGTAGAGCGCCCCGGTCCGGCGAAGTCAAAGCACTGGGCCTGGCAAGCGATGACAGCGGCGGCAGCGGCTGTGGGAAGCTGAGGCGGCGGCGGCGGCGGCGGCGGCGGCAGCGGTGACAGCAGCTCCCCCTCCTCCGAGAGCCAGCCCGGGGGCGGGGCGGGGGGCGGAGACGCTGGGAAAGAGGGGGGTGATGTTGGGCGGGCGGAACCCTGGGGTTCCTTGGATGCTGGGAGTGGGGACCGTCTCAGAGGCAGGCGGTACAGCCGAGACAAGGCCGCACTTCTCACTTCTCGGTGTTCAGAGGAAGAGGGACAAGAAATTCTTCTGAACCGAACCCTGGATGGTCGAGAAGTTAGGGAGAGGTTAGGTGTCAGATGAAATGACAGTGGGCCGGAGAATGGAGAGCGACCCTAACCTGGGATGGAAGTGAGGGTGGAACTGGATGAAGAAGGGGGTGGGAGGAGTGGAGATGGAGTTGGCCATGAGATCCAGCCTCAGGGTAGGGTAGGGGAAATTTTTTTTTGGGGGGGGGACTGGTTCTGGGGCTTGAACTCAAGGCCTGCGCCTTGAGCACAAAAGCTCAAGGATAGGTGGCTCGGTGGTAGAGCGCTTGCCTTGCATGCCTGAGGCCCTGGGTTCAATTCCTCAGCACCACATAAGCAAAAAGAAAAAAGCCGGAAGTGGCCCTGTGGCTCAAGTGGTAGAGCACTAGCCTTGAGCTGAAGAGCTGAGGGACAGCGCCCAGGCCCACAGTTAAGGCCCCACGTTCAGAAAAAAAAAAAAAAAAGCTCAAGGATACTGCTGTACTGCTTGAGCTACAACTCCACTGCTGGCTTTTTTTTTTTTTTTTGGCCAGTCCTGGGGCTTGAACTCAGGGCCTGGGCACTGTCCCTGAGCTTCTTTTGCTCAAGGCTGGCACTCTACCACTTGAGCCACAGTGCCACTTCCGGCTTTTTCTGTGTATGTGGTACTGAGGAAGGGAACCCAGGGCTTCATGCATGCTAGGCAAGCAAGCACTCTACCACTGAGCCACATTCTCAGCCCCATTTCTGTTTTTTTGTAGTTAACTGGAGAGAAGATCTCATAGACTCCTTCTCAGGCTGAGTTTGAACTGCCATCCTTAGATCTCAGCCTGAGTAGCTAGGATTACATGCATGAATCTCCAGCTCCTGTCAATAGTTCTGCGCTTTTATTTTATTTTTCAGATCATGGGCCTTGAACTCCAGGCTTCAGCACTGTCCTTGAGCTCTTTTTACTCTAGTCAAGTGTTCTACCACTTTGAGCCACAGAGCCATTTCAGTTTTCTGGTAGTTTATTGGAAACAAGAGTCTCAGGAACGTTCCTGTCCTGGCTGGCTTTGAACTGCGATCCTCAGATCTCAGCCTCCTGAGTAGCTAGGTGTACAGGTGAGAGCCACCAGCACCTGGCAGTATCTCTTAAGCATGCCATACCTCTCTCCCTTTCCATATTTTGTCAGCAAATACATTTTTCCCATCTCTACTGACTTTAAAAGAATTGGGGAGAGATTTGCAGGAGAGGCAGCAGGGTGTTTGGGGGCTCAGTGGGTGGAGAGAATGGAAGAAAACCCTGGGAGACCTCCTGGAAGTCAGACTTTGGGCCCAGTCACAAGTGTGTCTCCCTTGGGAGAGGCAAGCCATCTTTTCGTCCTGCTTCTCAAAGGAACACTTTCCACCGGAGTAGGAGAGTCTTTAATGGGCCCCGCCCCCCACTCCCGCTAAACCACCCCCCTTGCGGGCAACCTTGGCTTCCTCCACCGCTGCTCGAAGGGCCTGGGCAGGGTCTCCGCGAAGCTGAGCCAGTGCTGCCAACAGGGCGACGGAGCTGGCCCCTGCATACAGCTTCCGACCGTTCAGAAAATAGTGAGGCAGCGTCCCGGCCTCGAGCACACGGCCCAGCTCATCCAGCAGCCCAAGGCAGCAAGCACCCGCATTTTCCGGCCGTGCCAAGTAGAGCGCGGGCAGACGCTCGCACGCCCAGTACAGCAGCGTCCGCAGGAGGTAGGGCGCTGCGGTCCGGGTGCCGGCCACCAGCGGGCGCAGCAGCGCCTGGGCCGCCGCGTGCGCTTGCAGGAGCGGCGCTGGGATGCGCGCTTTGAGCGCCAGCTCCTGGCGGGCAAAACAGAGCTGCCAGCGGGAGGTGCCCGCTTGCTCGGTGCCACCTCCCGGCGCCAAGTAGAAGGAAGGAGTCTCGGAGGCCAGAGGACCCGCCCACGAGTGGATCCGAGCACCTTCGGGCCAACCTGTTACCGATACCACGGGGATCAGGTCGAAGAGCAGGAGGCGGCGCGGGGGCCCGGGCGTGGTCAGGAGGATCGTGGTGAAACCCGCGTGTCGAGCTGCGTGCACCAGGCGCGGGGCGGCCGGCACCGGGGTTAGGGACTTAGCGACCTCAGCCAGAGTTGTAAAGAACCAGGCGGCCACCTGGGCCGGGCACAGTGTAGGCCACTCCTCCCGAGCTTCCGACGGTTTGGGGATTGGGCATTGGGCCGCCGCCCCGGGAACGTCACCACGCGTTTTCAAAACTGAGGTAGAACCATCATCGGTGACGTCATGCTGCGACGATTCGGTCCCTGAGAGGTCACAGGGTGCTTTTCCCAGAGACTTAGGAGGCTCGTAACCGTGCGACGGGGCCACAGAGTCCTGCTGTTCTTTGTCACTTCTTCCTTCGCCACCGATTTGAAGAATCAAATCGCGTTCATCGGGGGCTGGGGGCCCTAGGCAGTCCTGCCAGGCGCCCCGCTCCGTGGCTTGGCACACCGGCCATGGGAGGCGGAGCCACGCGTAACTGGAGTCCAGATCCAGCTGTAGCTCTGGCCCGGTGCCGTCCAGCGAAAACACCGGCACTAGGAGGGTGAAGCCGGCGTCGTAGTGAGGTCCCCGGGTGTAGGGACCTAAGGGCGCATGCCCCAGATCCAGGGAGCCCTCGCGAATCCCACCGCGGAGCAGCAGGAGCTCTGCCTGAGCCGGAAAACGGGGATCCCGGCGATGAACTAGACCTAAAGGAAAACAGCGTCGTCTAAAAGCCGGATCGTAGTGGGGTGGGGGTGAAGCTGAGGGTTGCTTGTTACCTCCAGGCAAGAAGAGTTAACTTACCGAGCAAAGAGAAGACAAAGTCCTTAGCCCGAAGGAGGTCGGCTCCCGGCTTGGGCCCGTCCCTCCAGCTCTCCTGCACACCCAGCTCCTGAATGAGCTGGGTCAGTTCCTGCAGCTGTGCGCCTGAGCAGAAGTCGATGTCCGTGAGCGGCCGCGCTGGAGCTGGGGGCGGTGGGCCCCACCAGGGGGCACCCCCCCAGACCGCGGAAGCCATGCTAGATCGTTATTTTTTTTTTGGCCTAGGGACAATTTAAAAAACCAACCGAAGGTTCCCTAGACGTGTCTATCCTTCCCTGCCCAAATCTCTCCGGTTCTTTTCTCTTTTCAGGGCCGAGTAGGTGCCCCAAGTCTATAAATGGACCTGCTGCTAATGAGTTCTTAGTTTTCAAAAATGAACAAATGAATACCTCCCTCGTCCTGGCCCTTTCCTCCTAAGCAGGTTGCGGCCCCTCCAGAACCGGTTCACCTGACTCAGCAGGCACTTCCTACCGATTGCACTAGCCAGTCTTCGCCGCCTGTCCACCTGGTTCACCTTCCCGCCCCTGGTTCGCCTCCCTTGCTCTCTTTTTCAGGAGAGGTTTATAGATCTGTAGGTTCCCTTTCAGGTAGCTCCAAAAGTGGGGGAGGAAAAGGACGGAAGGATTCAACAGGTAACTTCTTCCTGATGCCCATAGGCCTACGCCCCTAAATTTTGACCACGCCCTTTTCTAGAGGTTGTCGGGGCGGCTCCGGACTGGTCCCGCCTCCAGTGAGCGTTCAGTCCAGCCTTTCATGGCTCAGACAGCTCGTGCCTCCCTGGGAGTTGTAGTTCATTTCTCCTGCTTAACAGCGCCGCCGTGGAGCCACGCCTCCACATCTTTTTTTTCTCTCCCCTCATTCAGCTGAAGTGGTGCCTAATGGAAGTTGTAGTTCCTATGATGATATAGTATGCTGTGGTTAGCCTATCCCCACAGAAACATTCCTTGGAGTTAGAGGGATAATTGGTTTTGAACAGCAAATAATAAAGGGTTATGTCCTATATTTGTGTGTGAGTAGAAATACCCTGGTCACTTAGACATAAGGATCCTTTCATGAAATAATGATTTCCTTATTTTAGAGACAGAGACTGCAACTTAGAAAGGTTACAAATGATTTGAGAGGCAGAGGCAGAAAGATTGCAAGTTGAAGGCCAGCCTACCCTTTCTTAAACAAAAAGTTGGCTCACGCCTGGTATCCTCAGACCTGAGGATTCACTGTTAAAAGCCAGCCTGGCCAGGAGCCAGTGGCTCATGTCTGTAATCCTAGCTACTCAGGAGGCTGAGATCTGAGGATCTCGGTTCAAAGCCAGCCCGGGCAGGAAAGTTCATGAGACTCTACAATTAACCACCAGAAAACTGGGACTGGCACTGTGGCTCAAGTGGTAGAGTGCTAGACTGGACTTGAAGAGCCTAGGGACAGGGCCCAGGCCCAGAGTTCAAGCCCCATGGCCGACAAAAAAAAAGAGTCTCACGGACTTTTCTTCCCCAGGCTGGCTTTGAACCACGATCCTCAGATCTCAGCCTCCTGAGTAGCTAGGATTAGAGGCGTGAGCCACCAGTGCCCAGCTGAGATATTTTATTTCTTTCTTCCCACCCTTTTTTCTCTTTTTTTTTCTTTGTGCCTGTTCTGGTGCTTGAACTCAGGTGCTGACCCTGAGCTTTTTCTCTCAAGGTTGACATTGTTAGTATTATGCCCACCTTTGGTCCTCAGCTCCATCCATACCTGAGCCCCTTCTAGCCCTGGAGTTCTCAACATACAGTTGGCCCCTCCCTCTCTCTGCCCAGACCCACCTGAGCTCCAATCTACCTCACTTCCTACCCAGAGACTCCCCTGATACCTGGATAGAGATTGATCCCATGTGTTCCCTCTCTAGGGGAAATATGGCTCCTCTAATAAACCTTGTAATAATCTTTCTCCTGTGCCTGTCTGCCTCTGTGTGGTCCCTTGGGATGGATGTGATGGATCCTTTCAGGCACTCTACCACTTGAACCATACTTTTACTTTGAATTTGAGATAAGATTCTCATGGATTTTATTTTATTTTATTTTATTTTTTTGTCGGTCGTGGGGCTTGAACTCTGGGCCTGGGCGCTGTCCCTCA